CCGACGTTATCTGACTTTTCATCGGTACTGGAGACATTTAAAAAATATATGTCATATGTATTATTGCTACATAAACATTATATCGCAGTTTTAGTTTAGCCAACTCCGTTTCTAATATGCAATAATACTACAACATGCGTCTGATGTATTTTCGAGCTTTCCAATCCAGACGAGATCTCTCTCTCCCGTCTGTGTGCGAGGGGGCGGGGCAGTTTGTAAAGGTCTCCTGACTGTGTTACTGACTGTCATCCTGGTTAGTGGTTACTCTGTGTTCTGTCTTCAGGACAGAGTGTTGGATTGTTTTTGTTAATTGGATGGGACTTGATTTGATTCAATATTAGAGTAATTTTCTCGTTTGTGTGTTTGTTTAAATATATTTGGCCTTTGTTCATGTGATTGACTGATTTACTCAAATAAAAAGGTTGATGAATTATCATCTAATGATTTGTATGATGTTTTATTTATGTTAAAGGTCACTTTGAATGATTTTAACTAATGATAATGTATAAAAACTAATATTTTAAATTCGGGACGGTCCACATTAATTTCGGGACGGCTTAGATTGTATTTCGGGACGGTTCCGGGAGGATGGTGAAAAAACTTAGTCGAGAGCCCTGGTTCACTGTTTTCATCTTTCCGTTGATGAGGTTGGTTTCTTCCCTACAGGAAAAAGTTGGAGAGTTTGCAAAGATGTCCAAGATTGAGTTGCTGGAGGCAACAGAGAAGTCAGTGGGACCACCCGAGATGTTCGCATACCACTGTGAGCTCAAAAACTTCCGCACCAAAGAAAGGGAACTGGAGGTACACATTATTGTTGAATAATTTATTTATTTCAGAGAGCTGTCAAATTTAGTCTGAAAGTCTCTTCCTATCAACATCTAGGAAGACTTCCAACTTCTTTCAACAACGTTTGTCTGACATTATGCAGATGCCATTGTTTTTACAAAATATAACGCACTTTACCCATCCATTATTTAACTTCATATAAAAGTTCTGATTTGATTCCTGTTAGAACATTGTGAAGGAGAAGGCCAGTTTCCTGGAGAAGGCCAAGCAGAGGAATGAGAGGAACAAACATGATGTGAAGCGTTACTACGAAAAGAAGAGACACCTGGACGTGATTGTGTTACTTGACAAGAAAAAACCATGGGTGGTGAGTGGTGGGAATTAAACTCTGACTGCAAACTTGATTTAATTGTTTGTCCCTTTCCGTACAGAGTCCAACTGAATGATTTGGACTGTCAGCTCTGATTCTTCCCATTTTGAATACTAGGAGTATGAGACAACCCGTAAGGAGCTTGAGGGAGTGAAGAAAGAGCGAGACGAAGCCAAAAAGCAGCTCTCTGCCCTGAAGCAAGCGCACGCGCCCATGCTGAAGAAGATTCAGCTGATTGAAAACCAGCTGAAGCCCTCTGAGGCCCAAATAAAGGCTAAGGTGAATATGCACATGTTTTTACTTTCTGATAGGGGCTGTAGCACGATACTAAAAGAAGAAATATTGTTTGTAATTTTCTGTAGATATCATTCAGCCTGCATTATACATATGATCTGTCCGTATCTGAGAGGGGTTACAGGGTGTCCGCGGGGTCTTAAAAAGTATTAAAAGTTGATAAATCAATTTAGCGAAAATTAAGGCTATTAAAAAGTATTAAACGGCATTTTCCAAGGTATTAAGAAGTCCCACAGCAACGACAACATGAAACACCCTTTAATTTACTGAAACGACATGTCGGGAAACCCCCTCAAGGCGGCCCCATGCATAGCGCGCCGTAAAATGCTGTTACTTATTTTAAGTT